CAACTCAATCTTATTTGTGGAATGTGTGTGATGTGTGTGGTGGTAAAAATGGTCACTTTTATGGTTGTGCTTATATTTCTTATCTTCCCCCAACCCCTTACTATGATGGTTCTACCTTTTCTTGTGAAGTTAACAGGAATAAAGAACCTGGGGATGCAGACCTAAAGGAGATCAATGATATGTTAAAGTGCCTTCTAAAATAAAATAATGAGAAACAACTGCAGATAGAGAGGCAAGAGGCAACTATTCGCAACTTGGAGGCTCAATTGAATCAAGTTGTTGGAGCTGTTAATGCTCAACAAGCCAATATTGAGGATAGTAGCCAAGAAGAGCATGAATTTGAGATGTTAATTAAGGAGGTCAGAGTAGAACATCAACAACCTAGCCAACTACAATTTAAGGATGTCGATGTTGAAGAAGTGAGACTAGAGTCAGCCAAGGACTTTGATGATACAAATTTTGTTGACTCTAGTATCATTAATGTTGAGGATATTGTCAGTCCTGAAGTTCATGTGTTTGAGCGCATTGGTCCTTACTCCAAACTTTTTTCCACATTGGGCTTGGATGATGATATGGAAATAGAGTCATCCGAGCCGATTGAGGAGTCAAGGAATGAGGAACAAAGTGCCTATAGTATGGAATTTTTCTTGCTAGAAAGTCAGGACTACATACCTCATCTAAAAGCCAAGAAGTGTAGAATAATACAATGGTTTCTTGGGCCAATTAGATTTGTTCCTCCACCCCTGGAACATAGCCGAAAACTTGATGCCAAATTGGGGGTTCAATTCATAAGCTCGAGGTGGAGGCAAAAAGTGATTCGCGTCGTGCCGCGACATTAAATCAAGCGCTTGTTGGGAGGCAACCCAACTTTATTGCTTTCTTTTAATTTTTTTTAATTGTATTATTTTTGTAGTATCAATTTTTTATTTTCTAGGAGCATGGAAAGCAAAGGTATTGGAAAGATGCAACAACAAACCAAATGGTTAGAACTAAGTGTGAGGTACCCGCACAAAGGACCAAGCTTGGGAGAAGTCTGAGTACCTCATGAGCTGTTAGTGCTTCGACTTTTGGCCTACCAGGGAGTCTCTTTTATCCTTTTATTAGTTATGGTGTGCATTGGGGACAATGTACAATTTTAAGTGTGGGGTGAGGAGATTGTCTAGGTGACTTTCTATGCTATTTTAGTTGTATTAGTTTAATTGAATAATTTTTTTTTTTAAAATAGAAAAGATTGGACTTTTCCCGACGATGGATATATTAGACAATTTTCTTGAGGGATTTAAGTCTAAAGAAAAAAATAAAATAAAAATATTTTCTTTTGTTAGGTAGTGTAGCAATTCCCCCTTGGTTTTTCTTGGTAAAAACTTACCCACACCGGGTGTTTACACCAAACCAATAGATATATGACATCTGTTTTGCATATGGACTCTAATAATTTAATCATGGTAAGTTATATGCATTTTAATTAATTAAATTAATTAACCATGGTGAATTAATATAGTTTGGTGTAAATACCCGGTGCGGGTAAGTATTTACCGTTTTTCTTTGTGTCGCGGTTCTTTTCCAAGGGTTTTGTTTGAACCGAGTGTAGTTAGTTTTTTTTAAGTAGGATCCATTGTGTTTTGTTTTGAATTAAAGCAATATCTCTTGACTTTGTTATGCCTTGAGAATAGTGAGTACTTTGGTTGTGATGCTTAGGCTCAGTTTTTGACTCTTATAAAAGTACCTTAAATTTTATGATCTTAACTTTGCTTAACTGCTTTGACTAGAGTGTCTATGAATTCAATCCTGAGTGAGTTATGTGTCATGTGTGTGTAAGGTTTTGCTTTATTCAGTGCATTGCATTTGATGCCTAGAACTTGCCCTGTGTATTTGCAAAGCGAAATAGTAGTGTTGTTCAGTCTTGGAAGTGATATAGGTGTTTCCTTGTTGAGCCAGATATGTATATTTTACCCACCTAATTGTTATGTATCATAGTTAACCTCTTTGAGCCTGTAATCTTATTTCTTTGGCAACCACATTACAAGCCTTACCCATTTATTTGAATTAACCATCTATTTGAACCTTCTGACCTCTCGAGCACTTGAATTGTGATGATTTATGTAAAAGTGAAAGTGTGGGGTGGTTGGTTTGGCTTTTGAGTGGAACTAATGAAATCAGGAGAAAGGTGCACTATTTTGAAAAATTAAGAGCCACTTGAATTGAAAAAAAAAATATAGTTGGATTGTTGTGAAAAAAAAATTCTTTGATAAGTGGTGGCTCTTGATGTAAGTGTGATTAAAGAAGAATGGGGTAATATACATTGATGTGAAGGTGGAGTTTTGGTTTGACATAAGTATGGGGTTTGAATGTTAAAGTATATGTATTAAAGTGCTTAGGGGGGTGTAGTCACTCTTATATCTAAATGTATCCTACCCGTCCCGTAGCCTACATTATAACCAAATAAAGTCCTAATTGATCCTAGATTGAATGAGCTCGATTAGTGAAGCAGTACACTACAGGCAAGCTTATGGTGCATCTTTTGGGGCATATGAATATTATTTCTGAGAGTGAGTGAATTCTTTCTATCTTGAGTTCCTAAGTGTTCTTAAATTTTATTGTGTGGAACTACTCTCTTTTGTTGTGTGAGGGCGCTTGATTCATGAGGAAATGTAATGTCAGTGACCTCTATGTTAGAGTAAGTAGGTAAGTTGTGAATAATGCGTGGTACTTGTGAGTCAAATCTTGAGGTGAAGATGTTACACTTTTGTGCTTAGTCTATTTTAAATATTCTTGGTGTGATGAGATAGGAAAATTGTTTAAAAAGGTCGTGTCTATATAAAGTGTAGTTTGATTGCTCGAGAACGAACAATGGTTTAAGTGTGGGGTATTGATGATCGGCTATAATTGCGTATTTTAGTCGATTATTACACTCTAATTTACTGCACTTTAGTTGAGTTTGCGTTTTAATCGCTAGTGTTTTGCACTAACGGTGTGTTTTATGCCTTGTAGGAGTGATTCCGAGCTATATAGATGTTATGAAATGAATTCAAGTGATTCATAGCTTTGAATTCTGAGTAAAAGCCCAAGGAATTAAGCCGAGATCGTATTCGGGGATCAACGGATGATAAAACAACAAAATGAAGACTCGAGTAGGCATATTGCGTACTGTATAGTAAAATGTATATAACCTTTTTCTCAAAACTCCATTTTGTCCCCACAATATATGGTTGGAAAGCTAACTCAAAGAGCTACAACTTTCATGTTTTACGTTTTTTCAAATTCCAAACGAAATAGGGTGAACAGCGCGGTCAAAACTGCAACCGTAGAGCTGAGGCGGGCTGAGACAGTATACCTGCCATATACTGCGGTTGACCACGTTTGACCGCGGCCGGGCAGTCCAGACGTGAAATATTGTCCTTTTTCGCGTAGGAGAAGGTATAATTGTTTAGGCCTGACCCTACTTGGTATATATACATGGAAAAACGGTATTTTTAAGAGGGGGACACACTTTTGACATAAAATTAGACCTAAGGATGCTAAGGAGACGGAGGATTCGACCTAAGGAGTCAAGAACACAATAGGAGCAAGGCGGAGAATTCTTCAACGAGTTTTTCCTTCCTCTTCCTATTTTTCATTGTTGGTTATGATTTTAGTATTGTATTTTTATATACTATTATGAATAGCTAAATTGTTATCTAGGGTTTTGATAGAACCTTTTGTAGGATAAATTCTTGTTATGTTTTTATATAATTGAGCCATTGGATTTCTCTACTTATTCAACTACGTGTTTATTGTTGTTGATTGACTCACCATCAATTGATTGTGCCTATTTATTATGTGCTACTTGAGAAAGGATACATATTTAGATAGTTGTTGAACAACGTCACTCCTAACGTATGTGAGAAATCAATACAACGGGTTTAAAGGTAGGTTTAGAAATAACAAAGCCTTGAAGTGGTCATAATGAGCGGTTAGATAAAGCCAACTAGCGTAGTCCGAGAGAATATGTCTAGTAAATTATTATAGTTGCTCGAGAGAGAAGTACGACACCTAAAGTGCTCACGATCAGTAGAGAATAAATTGGCGAAATTGTAGGGAACATAGCTAGAAGGATTCCGACAATTGGGAAAATCTTAACTCTAGACCTCCTTAATTTAGTCTCCAACCCTTTGTCTCGTTAGTTGATAATTTTACCGCTTTCTAGTATTTGCTAGTTAATTAGTTAGAAATATAAATCTCAATCTTTATAATTTAGAAAATTGTTCAAACTTGTCTTCTTAGTGATATTATACAGATATAGCTAAGCCTTAGTTCTCTGTGGGATTCGACTCTGAACTTTTAGACCGGATTTTATTTGCAGTGACCGCTTATCCTTTTTAGGACTAGAGTTGGGCGTGATCAGTAATCGAAAAATAATTAGCGTTTGCAAAGTAATTGAAAATAGTTGCTGTTTTGCTGAAACACGAAAAATTCCAGCATAATATGCAGAATTATGGAACTCATGTGTATAAATTTCCAGCATACTATGTTGGAACTCCAGCACATTATGAAATTGCAGCACATTATGTTGGAAGCTCATATATAAAAAATTCGAATTCCAGCATATTGTGCTGGAATATTTTCGAATTTTTAAGGGCGTTTTTGTTCAAATTTTATCTTTACATGAAAAATGGTTAAATTTCGATTACTTTTGAAACTATGACTATTTTTCAATTACCAGTTATAAATTTGGCTATTTTTTATTTTTTCCCCTTAAGTGACCGTTAGCTCTAATAGAGATAGATTTTCTTCTAGAAGTCATTTTGTTCAACCTATTTTACATCAAAATTTATTGCCAAAATTTACAACAAAATTAGGGGCCATACCAAAATATTGGCTCTTGTCCATAACTGCAGTTGCTTATGAAAGTTGCAGGAATCAAGATCTAGAATATGAATTTTCTAATGAAGATCTTACTTGGAAAGGTTGGAAAACTTGTACTCCACCAATTAACAAGAACATAAGAAAACAAGTCAATGTAATAAACAAACATATATTGTCAGTACAACCAATGAAATTGTCTGCTCTGAAACAACACATTAAGATCAAATACTTTGAATACAGAGCCAAAGGTTGTCATACTTCCTCCTTCCCCTACCTCTTCATGTGCTTTAATTTTCTCTAATCCAACTAATTAAAAAGAGAAGAAAAAAGGAGAAAAATCTTAGGGGTAGTTGACTTAACTAAAACCAAAGATCCAATTTCTCATAGAAACTAAGAAAGTAAACTAAACTAAACTATACAATCATTCATGCAAATTCTTGTTCCTATTTGTACAAATCTAAATCATGAAAACTATTACTAGTAAAGATTCATCTTGTAACATAAGGCTTAAACTAAACTAAACTATACAATCATTCATGCAAATTCTTGTTCCTATTTGTACAAATCTAAATCATGAAAACTATTACTAGTAAAGATTCATCTTGTAACATAAGGCTTTCTTTCAATTGGTTTTCTTGAATTTTGCTTTGGTAGAACGAAATAGGTTCAAGCTAAGATTCTGCTCGTGACCATAACGGTATACTAATAAAAAATGAAATAAAAAAGATATGTAGTAATTTGCATGGCTTTTCAAGAAATTGGAATTAGCCTCCCACCAAGTTTCATCATCTTCTTGAATTCATCAAAATTAACCATACCATCACCATCTACATCAATTTTCCTTATCATTTCCTTACAATCTTCCAATTTCTTCCCTTGATTCAATCCCAAAGATGAAAGTACTTTACTCAACTCTTCCTCTGATATTAATCCATCTTTATCATAATCAAATACATCAAATGCATCTTTAAGATCCCTCTCTCTATTTGCCTCCTCTTCTTGATTCATTTCTCCACTATTTTCTTGACTACCAATTACTCCTTGTATTCCCAAGAATGAATGACAAAGCTCATAAAACTCATCAAGATCAATTAAACCATCTTTATTTGAATCAACTTTTTCCACCATTTCAACTATATCTCTATCCTCCATATAAATACCAATATTGTTGAGTGATTGCTTTAGCTCTTGCTTTGTTATGTAACCATCATTGTTCTTGTCAAAAGTTGCAAATATACTCCTTAACTCAACCTTGTTATGGCTATTTGAAGTACTCCTTTTCATGATTTTTTGTTCAACCAAAGGTGGTGAAGTTGAAGTTGAGTTCTTGAAAAGAGGAGATGAAGATGGAGTTTGAGCTTTGATTGAAAGAGAAAAGATCCAAGATTGGAATTTTTTTGTTGGGAAATTGAAAAGGGTTGTAATTAAACCAAGAATGAAGAGAAATGCTAAGAAAAGTATGCTTAGAGTCAACATTTTTTGGCTCTTCTTGTTCTTGGGATTCAATGAAACAGAACATGAAAGATGAAAAAGAGTTTCAAAGTTAAGTATAGGAATATAGTTATCTTGAAATGAAATAAGAAAGTATTGAAAGGGAAGTATACGCGTTTATTTGATGCTTTTGCTTTAACTTTTATTTTTTATTTTAAATCTTGATCCCACACAAACGCGTGAAACTGTAATAGGAGTAACTGTAAATTAATTCTTTTTTCGCTATACGCGTGGTTTCCATCATTTATTCTAGGTGAAGTAGGGTTAGGTTGG